GCACTGACTCTCGCCGCTCATCACGTCAAGGCTCGCCGGGACAATAGATCTTTTGAATCCCGACAAAAGTGCTATTCTGGTTTCCGGTGAATGTTTCCGGTTTTCGGGGAACCATAGAGATTTCATAAAAAGGGAAGGAGAGGGCAGGCAGTTGTAAGCTTCTATATTGCACCATTTACCACTCCACCCCACGCAGCCGCGCAAACCTCAAGGAGTTTATCGATTTTAAGATTTTGACGTTTATCGAATCAACAGATGCTTGCCACTTTCGTAATGGGACAAATTAGTAATGGCATTGGCACTCATGCCAAATCCAGCTGAGTAGATATTACTTGACACAAGCTTGTCCTTTTCGGAATTTAGCGCACATTTACACCCGGATATTATTTTTTTAAAAAAGGAACACCAAATTAAGCTTTATATTTCTAAGAATCGGGAATAAAAAAAAACAAAAAAAAAACTTGATTTTTGGCAAAAAAAAAAAAAACAAAGAACTCTGAAAATACAGAATCCTACCTATATTATAAACATACATTTTGAGCCCCTCTACCAAGTCATAGACATGACTTGGGGGATGGGCAATGTACTTTTACAACTGTATTTAAATACAAATACAGAATACTTCCGCAAAAATGTATTTAATTACAAATTCAATTACACCTTTAAAGAAATGGTGAACCAAAATTTGGATTAAAAAAAAACAACAAAAAACAATGCAGGAGATGTAGGCAGGACGCTACAATCCCTACAACACTACCCGTAAGGCGACATCTCGAATGGACGGCCGTATTTTGGGAAAAAGAGGTCGAGACTGAACCAGGCCAACGAGGTGCATGACGTAGAGATTTCTTGTTTCCTCCTCTCTCTGCTTCGCTCCCTCAAGGTGGCAAGGCGGGGAAGACGCGAGGCCGTTACCTCTCCTTCTCAGAGGAACACTATGTGAACATTTCTGTAACATGCGCCTCCTTTTTCTTTTAAAATATGGCCATCCATTTGAGATATCGCTCTCAAGTGATGTTTTGGTGTTTGTAGCATAAGGTTGCACGCTTATGCCGCATGTCTTGTGGAATCCAGATTTTTTTTAACCGAAATCTGGATTCCCCAAAACACTCGACAAAAGCGTGCAACGGGATGCTACAAACACCAAAACATCACTCATACAGTGATATCTCAAACGGACGAGCGTATAAAAAAAAAAAAAAAAAGGCGCATTTGGCAGGAATGTTGACGTCATGTTTCTCCGAGAAGGAGAGGAAACGGCCTTGCGTGTTCTCCGCCTCGCGTACTTGAAGGAGCAAAGCGAAGAGAGGAGGAAACTAGGTATCTTGACGGTCACATGCCTCGTCGGCCTGGTTCAATCTCAACTTTTTTTTTCCAAAAATATGGCCGTCCATTTGAGATATCGCCTTACTAGTAGTGTTGTAGGGATTGTAGCGTCCCCCGCCTTCATCTCCACCATTGTTTTTCTTTTAATCCAAATTTCGATTCACCATCCCTTTAAGGGGTGCTGAACCCGAATTCGGATTTTGCAAAACAAATATGCAGAGGCGTTGAACGGGACGCTACAAACTCCAAAACATCACTCGTCCATCAATATCTGAAACAGATGGCAGTATTTTTGGAAAAGGGTGCGATCAAGCGAGGACTAAGACGTCACAACCCTCCTGGAGCATTTGAGAATGGGGGGAAGCGGCCTCGCTTCGAATCAACAGCTAGAGTGGACGAAATGAAGAGGAGAGGGAAGGAGAATCGTGATGTCACAAGTCTTCTCAGCAGCCTTGAATCGCGCACCTCTTTTCCAAAAATACGACCATCCGTTACAGATATTGCTGCACGAGTGATGTTTTGGGGTTTTGCAGAGCCCCGTCCATCGCTCCAACCATGTTTTTCGAGCTCCAAATTTCGGTTTAGTATCATTTAAAAACTAGTATTTTGGAAGAGGTCTAATTAAACAATGCAATGTGCGTGGCTTTCGAGTGTTCAGTGAGCACATACAACAAGCTCAAAATATGACTGCTTCGTTCAAGAGAAACTACTTTCTCTCGAAATTGTATGGTAATCAAATCCACTGAATGCAGGCTTGAGTTAGATCCAACATTGGCCCGTCGGGACTATTTCAGCGTATGAGCAGCCTTCCCGAATTTCTCCCAACGGTGCCAATCTTCGATTAAGCAAATGGATCCGCAAGTCTAATAGAATCCCCCAGACGATCATTATTAGATTATAATTAGAGTTCCGTGCTTTCAGAGTTCATTTCTAGTCAAATTCGGAGGGAGATTTTCGGAGTTTATTTTTAGCCGAAGATTCCGAGTTTATCGGAGTTTACATTTGTTTCATTCCCAACTCTTCGAAACTCTGCGTTTAATTTCAGTGTATCCTATTAAAAATAAATATATAAATAATAACCGGATGTAAACGTATGCCAGATAAAAACGCGCTTGTATAGTTAGAATTTTTTCAGTTGAATTTGGCGTTGGTGCCATTGCCAATACTAATTTGTCCCACGACAGAAGCCGCAGACGAGTGTTGCTTCGACAAACGTCAATACCCTAAAATCAATAAACTCCGAGGTAGTCGCTAGAAGGCTATTAGCCCCGAGAGTGAACACAAGCGTCGCTGCGGTCGCCGCGCCCTGATTGGGCGAGGTGTACCGCGACGTCAGGGGAAGGACACCGCTCCGCGATCTCGCATCGGCTAGCTTCCCAGCACTGGTTTCCTGGTATGGCGTTGTGTGCTGCACGCTCTTCGAGGAGCCGGACCTTGTTTACCAGGTGTACAAGACGTTGAGTTAGGCCGGTATTGACGCGCTTCCGTACATTTTACGAGCCTGCTTGCCCCTTTTACTAAAATTGGGTTACAAATCCCGAAAGCTATCGGCAAAGGCAATTCTGCCGTCCGTCCACACGACACCAAGGCAATCTTGCGAGGGGTCGGTGAACTGCCGGTGCCAGTGTTTCAGACGCTGGAATTCTGTACCTTGCATGTTCATGATTTAGGACAATATTACATCCCGCTTTCAAGGCATTTGAAGGGGCATTTATATCATGGGCCTTTGGGCGGTTGGCGAATTAGCTCGCGACCCCGACTCTGCATGCGCTGGTTTACAGATGTTTTAAAGGCTCTGCGTCTGATGGTCTTTGAAGTCCTCATACAACAGGGTTGTTTTACATAAATGCAGCTTCTTCAGGAATTAATTATATAGTTTATACACGTATGCAGCCATATTTCTTAGAAGATGCACAATTACTGGAAATTAGTTTGTATGGTAGCAGCAAAAACGGCCGAATTGCCCCCAGTTGCCTGTATGATATGTATTGAACTACCCAAAATATGCGCACCAATAGTACCATAATTTGGAATGTTTATACTTTTTTCCGACATTCTTTATTCCAGCTTGGGTATTCGGAAAATACACCGTTTAGTTTGAATTGTCATTCCTAATTAAAAGAGACACTGCTGCAGGTCCCCAAAAGCTTCCTCAGCCTTAAAACTCCCTACAGCTGGACTTTCTGACAACAGAGGAAAACAGGAGCAAAAGCAAGCAGTTGAACGGCTGTCCAGCGGTAGATGCTGCACTAGTAGCAGAAAATGTGGAACCTGTGAAGGGTGACAGTCTGTGTGAGAAAAGATTCTGGTATTTTAGCTTCAGGACAATTTGACTTAGGTAAAATATCAATTTTAGGGCTTAAGGGACTAATAACGAGCTAGACACCTTCGCTTACGTTTGTTATACATTACTTGAGGGTTGATATAAAGAAGTCCACAGATACCACCCGTGTAGTCCATTGAAATACTATCCGAATCCAGCAAAGGTGAAATGCGAGCAATGTATATAATAAATGTTGCTTGTTTTTTTACTTTGCGCCTGCAGTCGGGCTGTCTTACTTGTGATTCTCTCCCCATGGCCCAGACTGTATTTAGCATGTTGCTCGCGCAGCATGCAGCTTTTCTGCTTCGGCGATATTGTTTAAAACAGATACAAAAAAATAGTATACATAGCCTGCCAATTCATTCAGACCACCAGCAGCATTTATTGTGTGTGATGTAAATCTATAGTGATGCTCCTGCAATTAAGGCCATATTTCTTTATTTTCATATACCAGCTGCGATTCATGCGTTGCCTGCTGTGTCAACCATGCTTAAAATGTTGGTTGAAGTTTCACCTGTAGCTACAGGCCATCCATACCGGAATAAAGCCACATAAAAGAATTTACACTACCTACGAAAAAAACGCAAAAAAAAATTATATAGAAACGAGCGCGCGGACAGCTAGACTAGCGTCGTCACAGCCTCCACAGGGCAAGCGGGGCAAGTTGGGGAAAAATTCTCTCCTCGCCGTAACGTCACCCCGGTTCGCCGTAAGGGGGCGCCACGCAAACTTCTCTTGGCTCGTAGTAGCGATCCCATCCTATTCCATTAATCTAGCCCGCGGCCGCACGAGATGGAGTGGTTAAAAATGTAATAGAGAAGTTTCAACTGCCCCTCTTCCCTACTTTATACAATGGCCCAAATTTGAAATCAAAAAGCGGCTTTAGTCGCGACCCAAATGTGTTGCCCTGAATCAACCTTGACGAGACAAGCAGCAAGACCCCTTTTGACAATGGTCCGAGAATTGAAAAATAATCATGGTGGCATTTCCCCACGACCAATCTCGCCTCCTCCTCCTCCCCTCCTTCCCCACTGCGCTGCTCAAATTGCGGGGGGGGAGGCATTGGCAAAAAAATTTCGAGTTCATTGGATAAATCCGAATTAACCAAAGTTTTACCGGCGAGCGTTTTTCGGATTTATCCGAAAAACACGGAACCCTAATTATAATTCGAGACTAGAATATCTGCACACGCCTACTAATAATAAAGCAGCATCCACAGGGTCTAGAATACAGTGCAGAGACACAAGGACATTTGAGTGCAACTGCTCTTTTCCCACGAGACTCGTGGCTCAGTGATCGCCATCGAAATCTGGGAACATAATGGCACATGCAGACACTCCACAATTCTCACCTGTCGTTGTCACAGGAGGGACTCCAGTACCTGGAAGTATCCTTGCACGGCCCCGACCCCTCCCTTTCCCAGGGGCGGCTTGCATGGTGCCACTTGAACCTCTGAGAAACATTTTTATGACATCAGTTTGTGCTTCCTTTGATTGCAAAGGCGTTCTCCCATAAAACGGCCTGTCCATCTACTACAGTCCGTTTGGACAAGGTAGTGGTGCCACTACATACTCCAAAAAACCTCTAGGAGAGTTTGAGATAGCATTACAAAGAAACCAAATGTTTTATCACTCGCAGATCAGTGTCTGAAATGCCATACAGATAGGAAACTTTCTGCATCGGCTGCTTCGTCAAACAAGCCAAGTCAGCAACCAGTCCGGGCTTGTATTGGCTCGATTCAAGAAGCTTCTTTGCCAGTAATGACAAATATGTTCGAGAACTGAATAGAGTCAGTATTTACAGCAACCATTGTCAAAAAAACCAAAACACAAGAGGCACATTGTACAGCTTGCTTTGCCCACAGCATGGTGTTGAACCAACGAAAGGCTTGTGGACTGGATTCTTTACGACATCTACCCCACCCTACCTTCTTGAGTTGCAATAGACTGTAGTATACATCTTTTCGTGATCTGTCAAAAATGCAGTGCCACGTCCATTCACTTCGCATCACACAAACACAAGCATGAACCAGTTCATTAAATTGGCATATTTGAGCATTTGCTGGTCCATTCTGTCGAGATTCCTCGTTCCCCACGTGAAAGCTGCAGGATCATTGCCTGGTTGATGTGGCGGGAGTTTGAACACTCCACTGAGTTTGTGTCAAGAAGCTGCTGTCAAAACTCACTTGGCACACCACAATTTTATCCGGCACGGCATTTTGAGCAGCTGTAAATGCTCTCAAATGCTCACGGCAATTTCAAAGTAGCGAGTAAAGCCTCACCTGGTTAATAAGATGAGGGACCCAATTATCGTGGCATAAGGTAATGTTTGCTTTAGCAACTGCAGCCTTATATATCCTGATGTGTATCATATCCTTGCCCTTGGAGGTAGCATCTAACTCGTGACCGTGGCAAATCGCATGTGCTATCCGTAAAAACTGAAAAAATATCATCCCCCAGTTTTCTTGTGGATACCCATGTCCACGGGCAAGAATTCCTAAAACTTCGTTAATTACTTAGCCAACGGCGTCAAAACCTCCAACGAAATTTTACACTTGACTTCCCAAGAACATCACTATCACCTTAGCAGTTGGCTTGAAAAACGTTTTTGCTGTAGTACATCTCTGCTGCATTTCTTGAAAATGGCAATGCTGTTTACATTTCTGACATCTTATTTATCGTGCATATTTTTTGGTTAGTACAAATAACAAAGTATATTGATGCCATAGCTTAGAAGCCAAAACAAATCAGAAGTGGAGAAAAAAATCTAATCAAGCATTGATGCTTTGATAGTTCGGTACCCTAACGTTCGACAACCTACCCACGTCCAGCGTTCCCCTACTTTTGTTGTCACGTGACAATCTGCCAGGGTAACCCGGATTTATTCGAGTGGATTTGGAACACTGCCTCGGTGTGACGCGCTCCTGTACGCTATGCGTCGTTTAGTTGCTGCGCTCGGAGTATGGAACTGAGCGTCAGAGTAGGAGTACAGGAGTGCGGACTTAACACACTCAGTACGTGAGCCAAAATCACCCTGCAACTAGACTACTTCGTCTGCGTTGTCACCCGTTGTTGACCCTGGCAGGTTTTTTGGCCCCAATTTTTACAGAAAAGGAGCTATGCTTTGCAATTTTGCATGACAAAAAAGACCTGTGAAATGCACCTTTCACGAAAAAAAATTGCTACGTGCAGGCGCCGATTTTTACGGCCCATTGCACGGCCGTAAAAATGGCGCCTGCACGGCCCATTCTGTCGAAATCTCGGAAATCTGGTGGTTGCGCAGTTTCGCATTCCTGGGGCGCGGCCACCCGTGAAGCCGGTTACTTGGTTTAGTTTAGTGTTGACGGGAGGCTGTACATCTGCACACTATGCAAAAAAAAAATAAAAGCTTCGAAAGGAATGTGAATATCTTTCCACCGGTAAGTTCGTGGATTGTTGGAAGTTCATGAAACTGCTCTGATGATATAATTATATTCGTGAAATCGAAGGCAGTTGGTAACCATGTGTGGGACCCCGAAGGTCTGCCTGCGTGCTCCGCCTTTTGTGAGAGCCAGAATGCATGGGAAAATGGCGGACCTTTTCCTCTAGAGTTAATGGGCGCGTTAAGTCCGTGCTCCGGAGTGCGAGAGTTTAGTGCTCCATTCACTAAACAAACAGGAGTGTCACCGGAGACTGACACTCGAGCGCGCTCTTCGTGCACCGAGAATTTTTCGGAGCACGAGTGACTTCTTCGCGCTCCGTGATGTCACGTAAACAAACAAGATAGCTGCATGGCTGTTGAGACCGTCGAGACGAAAAGGCGTAGCCGGACCGCTGCCCCTTTTCAGTTGATTAGTGCTTAATCCAGCGCATAAAAACAATTTGATTTAAAAGTCAAGACAGCAATTAGCCTTCCGAAAAAGGTTTGTTTGTGCATCTCGCTTGAAAAAGGAATTCATATATCAAACGGTAGCATGCCGATTGCACAGCGACGGAAAAGTTATCAAGATGCGGAGACATTCGGACCGCTGTGTCCCTTTTATAATGCCTAGCCCAGCGAATAAAGATACTTTGATTTGAAAGCCGAAACATCAGTCACCGTCGAGGAAAAGGTTTGTTCGTGCGTCTTGCCTGAAAACGAATTGACCTATCGAACGAACGTGCCGATAGCTCGGCGACAGAAAAGTTGTGATGAAAAGACAGCCAGACCGCTGACGTGTTTGGAATGCTTATCCCAGCATCAGCGAATAAAGATACTTAGATTGGAAAGCCGAAACACCACTTAGCGTTGCGGGCAAGGTTTGTTCATGTATACCGCTTAAAAACGAATTGACGTGCAATCGAACGACTGTGTGCCGGTATCGGCGTAGCTTCAGCCTCGCTGCGGGACGGAACCAGGGAATCTCCGACAAATTTGAGGATTTCCTGCGTCGACGAGCGGGTTCAAGAATGTTGTCTTTAACTCAAATCGGAACAGCATGCATGGTCAATAAATAGATCGGCCTGGTAACCTTCCACATATGTGCACGAAGCGAGTCTTCAAGCCTTTGAGGAATATTAAAACGTTTGTAGAAACTTCACAACGTTGCAGTCTCTTTTGCTTTAGACTCTGCCGCTCCACACGGGCCTAATTTATCTTCGAAATATGTTCAACTTCTGCCACCTATTCACGGTCGGAAGGAGTTTGAGTGGCCAGTCTGTAGCCAGCCCGTCAATAGTTTCTGGCAGTGTTTCAAAACTTACTTGATCTAACTCTAGGGTAAAGCTGGTTATCGAAAACCTACCCGCGTCCGGCGTTTCTCCATTTTTGTTGTCACGTGACACAATCTGCCAGGGTAACTCTGATCCATTCGAGTAGGTTTGGAACGCAGCCTCGGTGTGTCGCGCTCCTGTATGCCATGCGCCGAACGCGGAGAACGCTTGGCCGCTTGACCGCCTGAATGGCGGCAGTTTGGGGCTTTGGCGGTTACCTCGAATCGCGCGCAAAGAAATAGTTGGCGCGGGGTCGTGTGCGGGTGAAAAGGTTTAAATAAGAAGTCATATTCCAATGGAATGCGACAAGCTGGTCCCGAGATGTCAGTCAAAAACATTTATATCCTTGTTACACGGGCACACTTAACTGCAGTTACGCTAAGCCACAGTTAGCGCACAATATTTGCGGACAACATTCTGCGGCTATGCAGTCAAAGCTATGGGCGAACGTGCGCTTGAGCATCTTGAGCACCCATCAAAGCAGTGCGCGCGCGCTCTTCACTTCTTCTGAAATAGCTGTCCAAGAGTATAGTGTGGTATCTGTGGTGCCACGCAACAGCAGTTAAGCTGAGTTAACCGCAGTTAAGTGTGCCGGTGTAACAGGGGTATTAGATTTCTTGCTGTCAGTGCTGCAGGGGCAACATCATTGAACCTCCTCTAGAAGAGATGGTTGGCTTCACTACATGGCAGGTTTGTACGCCTCGGTGGCACCACCGCACGGCAACCACACATACTATTTGCCCTCTCCCTTCCGCTTGCCACTGCTCGGAGCTGACAGGCATAGTGTAACTTATATGAGAGCGCCAGCCGAAAAGACTGGCTGCGCCCTCTCACGGCGCGTTGCCGCACTCAAGACTCGCGCCGTGCGCATACGTTTCCTTTCTTGGTCGCGGTCACGCTTCTTTCGCTCGCTTCCGTTTGACGCTTACGAGATAACAGGGACTGGCGCAAGGTGCCGCGAAATGTTATCTGTAGCATGCGCGAGCCCCGTCACCCATCATAATGGCCGAGGCAGATGCGCGGCATGATGGCTGTCCTAGCGGCACCTTGCGCCGGTCGTCGGGCGGAAGCGAGCAAAAAAGACATGACTGCGAGCACGAAAGGAAGCACATTCTCGAAGCGTGAATCTTGAGAGCGGCCGCGCGCTGTCAGAAGGCGCAACCGGTCATTTCGGCAGACGCCCCCGCGCCCCGCAGACTTTCGCCGCCGACTGTACGGGGACGCTAGGACGCCGCTTCACGTCAGCATTAAATGGTCGCGTCTCGCGGACGCCTCTTTTGTGGTCGTGTCTCGTGAACGCTACAGTGCCCCCTGGCCGAGAGAAACAGGGCTGTAGGAAAGTCCAGGAAACTCCACCCCACATGTGCTTTCCCCCCCCTTCCCCCCCCCCCCCCCCCACACAAAAAAAAAAAAAAAAAAAATTGCGACATGCAACGGGTGCTTTTGGCTTCATATCTGACAGACAAAGAGAAGTTATGCCTTCAAAGCGACCAAAGTCCCGAGTTTAAGCACTGTCAAAACAGCACAGCTATCTTTACCGATGTGTTCAATAAACGGCCGCGTTCACCTGCATTCCGAAACTTTAGTCGATGTCAACCATGTAAGCACGCTGCGAAACGCAGTTTAAATGTGGCGCTATATCATGCGAAGCATGCGATACACTTTTTCCTTCAAGACTGAAATGGAAACCAGACTTTTTAGATACCCGGCAAAAGGCGACGCGGATTGATGAAGAGGCAGCGCGCGAAGACGCTAAGGTTACGCTGTTAAGTTAGTAGAACGTCCCTCCAAAAGCGACATCTAAAGCAGAATCGTATTCGTATACTTACGGACAGAGTGCCGCGTCGAGTCGCGGGACCAAACGTCACTCGGGAAGAGGGCAATCGTGCACTGGCGCGATCGACAAATGAATTATGAAACCAAGACAAGCAACCCACGGGCCGTGGCGAGGGTGGCGAGCCACCAAACAAAGCGCCAAAGTAAAGAAAAAACAAAAATTAAGTGCGGGATACGTGTTTCGTAACATCAGGCTCGATGATTGGATTTTAGATGTCACGTGATAGCAGTTCATTTAGAAAAAATCTGCAAAAAAATATTTTTGTTGGGTTTGTTTGGAACAAATGTTTAAAGAATTAAAATGCTTAAAAATTATAAAAGTCCAAGACTATCAGGATTCAGCTGCTTTGGAAATTTCGCAAAGCGTTCGGTAGACTCAGATTTTTGATAGCTGGGTGAATTAGTTTGTTAAGTTTATTTATATTGACTTTAAATTCGTAGAAATAAAGTTATATTATATATATATTCAGCAAATTCTTAGATAATTGTTATCTGTCACATTCGTCACATTTGACCAGAGGCGGGAGGAAGATCGAAGGCGAAGCACGTGCGAAGCTGTTGCCTTGCCTAGGCTGCCTAGGCTGTCAATCGCTTTGCCGCCCGTGGCCCGCGTTTCGGCCCTTGTTTGCTTTCACCGGCTCCGAGTGTTCCTGCAACCTTTGGAAATCCACCTCAATTTGTCGTGAATCCACGTTTCTGAGCGTTGGTTTTCCCTTGGTGTATTGTTGATATTTTCACATAAGCATTTCTTTTGCAAGATTCGATTCCTTGTGTATTTCGCCCGAAATTCGTCGTTCCACCATATGTTTTGATTGCTGGGGGTTTCTTGTGGAAAGACCTTCGGGCCTTTTACCATTGAAACCCGACGTGGCTGTCAAGATTCGGTCGATTCGTCCTTTAGCGGCGATTAACCCTTCGTTGCATGCTTCAAAAACGTCCATGCAAATCGTAAATTTTGCGTTTTTGCATTTTTTTTTTTAGCTCTCAGGAATGTACTTTATTAATCACGGAAACGTCCACTACAGTGGACAACACGCACTAAAACTTAAAAGCATAAAAAAAGAATGTTTTTGACGTCTATATGAAATCTGAAGAAGCATTCACTTCGTCCGTCAATGCAAAAGTTCACTTTGCACTTCTGGCAAACGTAGGTCGACTTGCACTTATTCTGCCGTCTTACATCTTTGGGCCGGAGCCGCAGCTCATAGCGAACGTCAATCATGACCGAGGCCGCTTTGACAAGGAGCGTTGTTTTTGGAGCTGTTGCAAACTCCGAGCAAGATGATCCTGGTTGTTCAACTGTTCTTGCTTGAGCCTGGATCAGCCCCGTTGCCATGGAGAGCTTGAACCTGCCAAGTTGCATGGCGCAATCTGGAGTGAGGCGTCGGTACAGAAGCCATGAGTTGACGACTGCAATGTCTATGAGGTGGATGATTAAGCATTTATACCACTTGCTTGTATTGAAGTGTGTTGTATCTTAATATAGACGCTTTAAACACGTGCCAGATTGAGCCGCCATTGCCGACCTTCTCTTGTCTTCCCTAGATTCCAAGTCACCGAAGTGGGCGTTAATGAGCCTTCACAAAGGCCTATGCTGGGGAGAAGGACGCAGTTACCCCTAAAATGACGATAAGCTGTCCTGCTGTGGTAATGATGAAGTGGAGCGAACGGAATAAGAGGGAACAAAAAGTGAAGGTCGGTTATGGTGGCGCCAATGCACGGCTGCCTAAAAGCGCCTATAGCAGGGGTGGCCAGGCTGACCCAACCTAAGAGCCCCAAAGAAAACTGAAACTTTCGAAAGCCGAGCGAAGGGGGGGGAAGCAAACATTTCTGCAGAGCAATAAACGAAACTAGAACTACTTTCAATCTATCCAGGTCGAAAGCAGTCCAACGGTACGTAAGGTAGCAGTAGCACAAGCCTACTAAACTGCAACCCGATTTTCGATTTAAAACGCATTCCATTTCTCTTTTTGGTGAAGTGCTAATGTGACCGGGAGGAGTTGGGAGGGGGGGGGGGGGTTGGAAGGGAGCCATGAGCCGCACTTTAAGGGGTATTCACACGAGGGAGAAATCCCGGGGATTTCTCCCCGGCACGCGCATCCCACGACGAAAACGTCAGGCTTTGCGATGTGCAAAAGCCTCGCGTTTTCATCTCGTGATGCGCGCGTGCCGGGGAGAAATCCCCGGGATTTCTCCCTCGTGTGAATACCCCTTTAATGCACGAAGAGCCGCAGCTTGAGCTGGGCAAAAGACCAGCTGTTTCATCTTCGTCTTCCTTTCACTCCTCGTCTTCCTTCTCCACCACCTTGCAAGCACTTCTTTCCGACAGATACCAGACACTACCTAATCCCCCCTCGAAGAAAAGAGTACGGAAATGAAAATTTAAATATTCAAATTTGGTTCGGAAATGAGTCAAGCATGACGGAAAATAACCGTAAATGATAATCGCACGTTTGTATTTTGAATGACTGACTATATTTTTCGCTCCCAACGGTGCACTCGAGCAAGCACTGAAAGAGAAGCGAACCGAGAGCGCGACGCGTCATTGGATATCCAACCCAAACAAAGAAAGAAAAAAAAAAAATTTCCCGCATTCCTGACGTAGCAAGGCTGGCATAGTTGCGAGCTTTGCCGTTGGTTGCATTGTCAGCGTTGTGGTGGTGTCAATAGTGTCAACACGTTACAACCGAGCCGTTTGAAGTACCCGTGGGGTGCCGAGCGTGTGGCTAGCCCAAGGAGCATGTAACTTTCACAGCACTGTCAGCTTAGGGGTGAACAGGGTGGGGAAAGCAAGTTTTGTCCAAATTTTGAATGACTGTCTAATCTTCTAGGGGGAGAATGGTTGTGTCCAAGTACACAAATGAGGGTCCATCTTGAACTGTTTGGTACAATGCACGATTTGTGGGTTGAGGAGGAAAGCTATGAAGGAAAATGTTGAATTCCAAAGAGCGGCACTGGTCCGATGGAACTTGCTACGTCATGACTACGTAGCAAGTTTCTCAACATTGCTAGATTAACTCCCAAATAGGCTCCACATGCATCCACCAGGTGCACATTGAAAGATTGTTTAATTAGCTTTAAAATTAGTTTTCTTATGCCTTTTAACGAAAGACTGGTATTTTTGAGGTTGTGCTGTAACTATGCAATGCATCAAAGTTAAAATTTCATTTCCGCACCCCTTTAAGGGAAAAATCTGTCCGGTTAATTCCTGCTCCTGTTGGACCTTCGTAGGGTTAGGGAAAGTGGTTGTTCCGCGTCTGTACCATCTTCCCGTGCCCTGTGTTGTCCTCATGTGACTGTGATCCGACTGGAACATATGCTCGCAATAACTGCAATGAATTCCAACATCCTCCTCCAGATGTAACAAACGTGTCTTGGCCGACCGCTTTCTGAATTCGTTCAGGTTGTCCGAACGCTGGTGTTCCCTTTGCTTGGTGTGTGGGAAGTTTCACACACACAGAATCTCCCACGCTCCCTTTAAATGGTCTTGCTGTGCGTCTTTCGTCTGTGTACTGCTTGCTTCGTCGCTGGTAATCGACAATGTTTTGACGGAGCTGCTGCATCTTGATATGAACCAGTCTCTCACAATTTGGAAATCCGACGGTGTCCATTTTCGTCCGCATTCTATGTCCATGAGGTAGTTCAGCTGGGGAGAGTTTTGTTACCGCATGTGGTGTACTCCGGTAGACGCCCAAGAACTCAGTCAGGCTAGTACGAACGTTACTTTGGTTTTGTATGATAGTCTGGACGTACCCTTTTAGAACTCTGTTGAATCTCTCCACCTGTCCGTTTGCCTGTGGGTGGTAGATGGCAGACCGGTGGTAAGAAATTCCTCTTGTGTCCAGGAACTCTCGGAATGTGCTAGACAGAAACTGCGGACCATGATCCGAAACAATCGCATCCGGGCATCCTTCTTGGCTAAAAATCATATAGTTGGAAAGTTACAAACGACTTCAGCCATTACTCGAGTACAAAAAGCGACTTCTAGCTACTTGCTGAAGTAGTCTACCAAAGTAACCGCAAACCTATATTCTGGAGGAAGTCGGTAAAATGGTCCAATAATGTTGATTCCTAGCTGTTTCCATGCGCCTGATGGAACTGCCACTGGTTGAAAATTTGGTACTGCTGTAACTGCTGTCTTGTCGTTTGCCTGACACGTGTTACAGTCTTTGATGCAAGATTCTACTTTGATGTCCATCCTGGGCCACCAGAAGCGCTGACGTAGACATTGCTTCATTCTCACAATACTCGGATGTGGCACGTTTGCTAAGTTAATAAGTCTCCGTCGGATTGAAGTTAGTGGTACCAGCACTTCTCCCCGTAGTAGTACGCCGTACACCCAGGAGAGCTCTTCTCGTAGTTTGTAGTGTGGGGACAGTGCTGGTGTCTCGTTGCTGTTCGAGACACCATCCCGTTCTGATACACTGTATCAGTCAAGGCAAATCAGGATCTTGTTCCGTTTCACTTTTGACCTCTTGTATGTCTATAGAGTCTAGGTTGTGTACCAGGCAAGTGAATTCTTCTTCATCTTCGCATGTCTCAGAGTGGTCGGAGCCATTCCGTGCAGGCAGACGAGAAAGTGCGTCTGCCACAACGTTTTCCTTTCCCCTCTGATAGTGAATCTCGTAATCGTATTTTAGGAGTCTCATGACCCATTTGGCTATTCTCATCGGTTGTCGACCGGTTCCCTGAGTAGAAAGCAGGGTCACAAGAGCCTGGTGGTCCGTCTTGAGCGTGAAATGCCGGCCAAAAAGAAAAACATGCCACTTCTCGCAGGCCCAGAGACATGTTAAAACTTTTTTCTCTCCTGTAAAGTGGTTGCGCTTTGCGCTAGAAAGTGTTTGTGATAAGAAGATGGTGTGTATTCCATCTGGATGTACTTGTTGCAATACCGCGCCCAACCTGTACCTTGATGCATCCGTTGTGATGACGGTAGGAAAGTGTCACATCAAAAATGGCGAGTGGAACACAGCTCCGAATCAGGTGTTTGACTGAGGTGATCAATGCTTCCTCCTGTTCCTTTCCCCACTGGAATGCAACATTTTTCTGTAGAAGTGCATGTAGAGGCTCTACGATGGTTGCAAAGTTGGGAACGAACTTGAGGTAGTACGTTAGGAGACCGAGCAAAAATCGTAGTGACGTTACGTCTGTGGGAGCAGGAGCTTGCAT